TAAGTAAGTTTATGTGAAACTAGTTTTGGAAAACTGCTACAATGATGTATATGGAAACTCAGCCAGGGGGATTTGAGGAAGTCAACCAACAATGATAACCAAAGCGGAATTTTTACAGTTAGGATATATGTTTGTTTGCTTGCTTGTTTTTTGATGTTTTCTTTTTATGTTTGTTATAAATTTGGAAAACGAATAAGAAAAATTTGGAAAAAAAAATCAAAGTATAGTGAGCATGTTAATGGTTTTGTCTGTTTTTGTATCTCTGTGTTAGATAATGCTTATTTTTCCCATTAAAAGACTAACCAGAACCAGCTCGAGGGTCATTTTGGAGGATATAATAGGATATAATAGTTGGGTTGTAAGGCACATATCTTAACATCCAGCAAGAATATGGATTGAAGGGGCAGTGGAACTGTGCAGGATCAGATCTTATATAATAATAATAATAATTTGTTATTTATACCCCGCCCATCTGGCTGAGTTTCCACAGACAATCTGGGTGGCTCCCAATCAAGTGTTAAAAACAGTACAGCATTAAATATTAAAAACTTCCCTGAACAGGACTGCCTTCAGATGTCTTTTCAAGATAGGATAGCTGCTTATTTCCTTCACATCTGAAGGGAGGGTGTTCCACAGGGTGGGCGCCACTACTGAGCCCAATACATCCCCCCCGTGGAACCTGCCCCAGCCATTCTATTGGCTGAGGCCCACTCCCAGGCAGCCCTGACCCTTCCCCTTAAAAAGCAAAATACAATCTTCCCACCTATCAGAAGGAGGATCTAATCCTGCATGCAGCTGCTTTGAGGGGCAAGAAGAAGGAGAGGCCTGGCTGGAAAGGCAAGCCATCCCTTCTCAGGAAGAGACAAAGCTGCCTAGTAGGTCCCTCTTTTTCACACTTTCTCCTCATGCATGCCTCTCCGTCCTGCCTGACCCTCCACCCTTTCAGAGCCCCTTATGGTCCTTTGTTGTTCAACCCAACCTGTAGTCATCTGAGGCTGTCTCACCCCATTTGAATGAGGCACAGGTCCTCTGAGTACTGCTGATTGACTAAGGATCCAGGCCTTGGCCAAATCCAGTGCACAGCCCTAACATGTTAATTATTAAGTAGTGGGTTGACATAGCAGACGACACAGAGATTTCTCCAAGTAGTTCTTTATAAGTAAGCTGGAACTGAACTGAACTGAACTGAACTGAACAGCTCAGCCGGCCTGCTTTTATAGGCAGCCAGCTGTCAACATTGTAATAACAACACCCCAGGGTTTCCCGCCTAAATTAACTGACGTGGACCTGAGTGAAAACTATCTACAGTATCCCCCTGCTGGCCCAGGGTGAGAACTTCAATACATAACATTAATGATTCTAAAATGATGCAGAAACTTACGGCTGAGAGTTGCATTGTTACACATTTCAGTGTTGCAGCATTGCATCTTTATCGCAAAAAAATTGCCATCTGCTGCAGTGAAGCTGTAACTGCCTGAGAAACAATCGTTGGATGACGTGCATTTACTTGAAAGTTGCACTCTCGGTTTCACTATGAAAAAGAATTTGAAAGAAATATTTCGGTCTTGGAAAAATATGCAGGTCTATTGCTCCTAATTTTGTAATTTGTAATTTTCTGTGTTGCCTGAATCAGGACCTTTTCAAACTAACAATGTGGAAAATATTATTAAATTGGGCAATGGAATGTATGCAGAACTTCATTTCAGGTCAATTTGTAGCACGAAGACTCATGGCTGCCTCTATGCATCTGATAATGCATCTGACATACACTGCACTCTCCCTGCTAGTTGATCGTAACAGTTTGTAGGTTGGGGAAAATGCTTCCCTGACCTGTTGTTCCCAATGCAAGACACTTGGCAAGACATTGCATTGCACCAGCCTCACTGCCCCCTTGCCGCTCTGCCTCCAAAAATGTAGCAGTGATGTTGGAACAGATGGTCAAGTGAGCACCACCATCCCACCCAGAATTGCCCCAATGCATTTTGGCACCTGAGGCGAACCACAAAATGGCACCCACACCCTCCTGGGTAGAAGGTGTGGGTGAATCAGGAACAAGCAAGGGGATCATATCAGCCTTAACCAATGGTTGAAGTAGGAACCAAAGTTCATCAGGGTGGATGAACTTTGAATCAAACTGGGTAACTGAAGCCCATTTTAAGAAGCGAACAACAGGAATACTTCCTTTCTGTTGTTTCCTTCCTCATCGTTTTATAACTGAGAATTATTTCAAAATTACTTGAAGGGGGATAAGGAGCCATGAAGGTGTGAACCACCTTCATTTCCCATCCCAGTTGCTCAGCTTTTGAATAGTTTCTGTGAAAGGACTCTCAATTTTAATGTAATTTATGTCAAAGGGGATATTGAGATTACAGTCATACCTCAGGTTGAAGTTGCTTCAGGTTGAGCATTTTCGGGTTGTGCTCCACGGCGACCCGGAAGTAAAGCAATGTGTTACTTCCGGGTTTCACCGCTCAGATGCTCAAAATGACGTCACGCGCATGTGCAGAAGCGGCGAATCACAACCTGCACAGACACGCAGACACAGGTTGCCTTCTGCTCTGGATGCAAACGGGGCTCCGGAACGGATCCCATTTGCATCCAGAGGTACCGCTGTATATTCCAGGCTTATTGTCTAGTTTGATAACCTAAACTAAACTGGGGTAAATTGGTTTGGGTCAAAAGGGATTTCTAGTTAATGCAAATCAAGTTCTCTAAGCTTGGAGATAAGCACCCAAATTCAGCCACTGGTTGTGATCAAGTCTGTTAAATTCCCTATTTTCATATGCAAGTGATTGCTTACTTCAGGACTGGGAAACTGTGATCCTCCAGATGTTGCTGGACTACATCTCCCATCATTCCTGACTGGTGGCCAGGCTAGCTGAAGCTGATGGGAGTTCTAATTCATCTACAGCTGAAGCGCCACAGCTTCCTTACCTCACCTTTTTCATAGGTGAGTTGCCCCAGAAATAGACTTCTATATGCTAGGAGAACCCTTAAAGTTCAATTATCTTAACCTGGATCTAATGCAACAGAAAAAGACAAAAAAATCAGGCAAATCTTACTTATATTTGTACTCAGAGCACTGGCAACACAGGTATGTTCATTGAAGTCACAACTTATTCTGTCATAGCCATTATATGTCAGTCCTGTTTTGTTATAGCCAAAGAAGCAGTCCATAGGTAATGCTGATGACAGAAGCAAAAGTTTACTTTAAATTGCCTCCCACAATGGCTGAGACTGGCAACCATATTCTTCAGTCCCTGACTGCAGACCTCATTAGCTACAAATATGTATGCAGACAGCTAATGCTATCACATCCAAGGCCTATGGGAAGTTGCTGGGTCCTTGATGGATAAAGGTGTCTTCTGAGCCAATGCCTCTGTTTTTGCACTTACTTGGTGTTGGGTCTTACTGAATTAGAATAAACAATATACTTTTTCTGTTCTTCCAGGCCACTAATAAAAGTGCAATGAAAGCCTCAAGGTACTGCTCAGGTGACTGCTCAGCTGGTAAAGCTAGACATAGCTCGGGGCTGTTGAAAGGTGCCAGGGACACACTGGTAGGCACTGAATAGAATACAATGACTCCAAGATCATTACTGAGATCTTGGAGAATAATTTCCTAGAACTTTGCCCCTCCTTGTTCTAATTGTGTCAGATTGTTGGGACAGGGAGAGATACTTTGACTAAGCTGATGACTGTCCTTAGCCACATTGTCTTGAATTGAAGCCAGCTCATTCCCACAGGGATCCCACAGGGATCTGTTGAGATGCTGGACTTGAGGGTGATTGCCCTGATCCAGCATTATATCCAACCTTATGTTTAACTGGTGAGGGACAGAGCAATACCCTCATTTCCCACCACCTAAGGTATTTTTTAGCCACACAGCACAGAAAGCTCGGAGGACATTCTGCACCAAACTGTCTATCTTCAGGTGTCCTTCTCTTTGCTTCATGATTTATGTTAGGACTACTTAGTAGTGCTTATTGGCTTTGGGAAGAAGGGGGTAGTACTTAGGACCCTGTCAGAATCGTCACCCCTTCTGCCAGAAGCCGTACAAATGCCTCCTTTTGCTGCTTCTTTCAGACCAGAAAGAAGTGGCTTGCCCAACCATTGCACTGTTCTCACACCTCTGTATGGTTTAGCCTAGGCAGCAGTCTAACCCAAATGTGCAAAGAAGAAATATATACTCAGAAAAGCCCTCATAATGCCAGAGTGATCAAAAGCCAAGGAGGAATGCACCAGCAGGTGACCTATGGAAGAAGAAGGCTTGGACAGATTTATGGGCCAAGGAAACGTGCCCAAGGATTCCAACTGGGAAGGACTGTTCCAGTGAGGAGCAGGAAATTATGGAAATAGAAAGCTTTCCCAGAAATCCTATATTTCTATATTATAACACAAAGCTCTTATTTCATATTGATGCAATCTTTTTAAGGAACTCTGTGGGAGTCAGCCAGATGCCCCTTCCAGTCTAGCCACACCTACATTGTCAGTAAACAGGTACTTTAAATGAACGTGTTCCTTTCTGGGCTTTATGATAAAACTGAGCTGGAAACAACCTAATCCTAATGAGGCACAAAGTAATCAAAAATTAGCATGTCACAAACATGCTCTTCCCAAAAATCAGGGGAACCTGGAACCTGCTTGTATCCATGGGGCCATTCAAGTTTGCACTGGCAGTTTTGTAGCTTATCAGTATTTTCTTTCTTTTTATACAGTCAGGATGGCTACCTTCCCTCCAATATGAGAGCCATTAAGCCTATTAATCATAGCTGTCAACTTTCCCTTTTCTTGTGAGGAATCCTATTCGGAATAAGGGAATTTCCCTTTAAAAAGAGGAAACGTTGACAGCTATGCTATTACCATATTTTTTGCTCCATAAGATGCACCTAGTTCTTAGAGGAGAAATGCAAGGGGGGAAAAATATTCTTTAAAGGGAGCATTGAGCGGAGCTTGTACACATGCCAGGCTCTGCTCAGCGTTCCCTTTCACGAGCCGCTTTTCCCACGAGCAGGCTTTTCCCCAAGGAGGGAGAAGAGCAGCCCGTCACTGACGGGCTGCCCTTCTCCCTCCTCAGGGAAAAGCCCCCAAGAGCCGCACACACGCTCTGTGTGGCTCTTTAAAGGGAGCGCGGCTCTCGGGGGCTTTTCTGGGAGGTTGGGGAAGGGACAGAGCCACACTCTCTATTAAAATACACTAGCTTAGACTAAGTCAGATTTGCTATTTTCTGTGTATGTATTTTCCCAAATGTTCCCAAATTCTTAAGTGACTTTCTTCTACGATCTTTTATTCCTATATGGTAACAGGGTTCTTACTACACTGTTGTTATTTTTTTTTAAATGAATATGTATTCTGTACTTTTTGTGCTTATTTGGTTACAGTGTTGATTCAAACCAGAACCTCAGATCACTTTGTGCATCCTTGATGAAGTATTTTCCAGGAGACATCGGGCAAGGGCTCCTGCTTTTTGGGTCACCCAGATGTCCTTTGTACCCACAAGTGTCTCCTGGACCTGAAGGGAATAATGGCTAGCAAGAGTGGTGATGTGCTAATATTCTGGAAGTTTGGCCTTTTGTTGAACAGAAATCAGAAGCCACTAAGAGAACAAGAAAAAGCTCTTAGAATCATAGAATCATAGAGTTGGAAGAGACCACAAGGGCCATCGAGTCCAACCCCCTGCCAAGTAGGAAACACCATCAGAGCACTCCTGACATATGGTTGTCAAGCCTCTGCTTAAAGACCTCCAAAGAAGGAGACTCCACCACGCTTCTTGGCAGCAAATTCCACTGTCGAACAGCTCTTACTGTCAGGAAGTTCTTCCTAATGTTTAGGTGGAATCTTCTTTCTTGTAGTTTGGATCCATTGCTCTGTGTCCGCTTCTCTGGAGCAGCAGAAAACAACCTTTCTCCCTCCTCTATGTGACATCCTTTTATATATTTGAACATGGCTATCATATCACCCCTTAACCTCCTCTTCTCCAGGCTAAACATGCCCAGCTCCCTTAGCCGTTCCTCATAAGGCATCGTTTCCAGGCCTTTGACCATTTTGGTTGCCCTCCTCGGAACACGTTCCAGTTGGTCAGTGTCCTTCTTGAACTGTGGTGCCCAGAACTGGACACAGTACTCCAGGTGAGGTCTGACCAGAGCAGAATACAGTGGCACTATTACTTCCCTTGATCTAGATGCTATACTCCTATTGATGCAGCCCAGAATTGCATTGGCTTTTTAGCTGCCGCTAAAAAAGGGCCCTTTTCATAAGCTACAGGAATGAAAAGGTTGTAGAAAACATCTCCTCTTGTGACCTATCTTCAGTGATCTGCCTTCCGAACAGCTTTCATCTGCATTTTAAACAAACACACATTCCTCTCTTCCCCATATTTCTCTTTCCCCTCTCCTTTCTTCCTTTCCTTTCCTTTTTCTCTTATTTCCCCCTTTCTTTTCTCCACTCTTTCCTACTTTAATGTTGTTCTCTCTTTTATAGACCCTAGCATCATCACCATTACCATCATTTTTGCTATTATTTCTGTTTAAATATACCTCTTTCTACTCATTTCCTTTGTATCAGTGTGTCTTTTGTATTTTCTGATACTAACAGTATTTAGATATCTCTAATTCTCAGAATTTAAGATATCTCAACCACATGATGATATGAAAGCATTGGTCTGAGCTTTTGCAATAATAAAATAAAATAAAGGCTTAATGTGCCGCCAGTGGTGGTGAGGAAATCTCAACCTGGTGCCATCTCCCAGGGTGAGAGGCTGGGTGAGGTATTCTCCAAGGTGAAAATGGGGATGGCATGTCATTGGGAGCCAGGGAGGGTGCTTGTGACTTGTCAATGCTGTGACTTGTTTGCAAAAAATATTGAGGAAGTAATTGCTTGCATCCACTGGAAACGTGACCCCTCTGTTACTGCAGATGAATCTCAAGGGGTATGCAGAGCACGGTCTAGCCCTGTTGTGTTGGATGAGTTTCAGTTGGTAAAATTCAAGGACATTACCCCTTGCCCCTCTTGTCTGAGGAATACTAGCAGAGAGGAGACAGCTGACTGGGTCAGGGAGGTGATAATGCCTCCTTGCAAAAGGGGGTGGTCCCTGCCCACTTGAAGGAAGCAGTGGTGTGCCATCATCACAGGTGGGTTGTGTGAACCCCCCAAAAAATCATTTTCATGGTGGCCCTTGGAGGTGGGATGGGACTCTTGGGGTGGAGTGTCATATGACATCACCAATTAAACACAAGAGGGATGGGGAATTGTGGCGTTTGCCTCCTATGATGCGTCAAAGAAAGGGTTAAAATGGGTGTGATGTGATTGGCCAGTGAGAATGTGAGGGGGGAGTAAAAGATAGAGTGGGAGGTTTTGAAAAGTCAGTTGAGGTTTGGGAGTTGGGAGTTGAGGTTTGTCAGTTGGCAGTTGAGGCTTGGGTGTTGGAGAAGGAAGAGGGTGGAACAGGCAGTGGGTTGGTCGAGTTGTATTATGAGAGAGTGAGAGGAATTGTTAGGGAGTTAGATAGATAGTTGGGAATAATTCGGTTTGAAGTTGTTAGGAACTAAGATTTAAGAAACTGACAAGAGAAAAATAAACCGAAACCATACGCTTATTCCTGCACTTAAAAATAAACTTCATTATTTGCTTGTGTTAACAACTGTCTGGACTCTGTGTGTCCCCGTGAGAAGCGGGGTGGTGGCAACGAAGAAAGCAGCTGGCAGGGAGCTCCGAGGCCTGCCCGAGGGCTTTCCGCCCAGTGCCTCTCACCCCCTCCTTTATCCGAACTCGGGGGTGATTTATGGCAACCACGGGCGAGGGCAGCATCTTTCCAATTCCCTGGAAAGATGAGGGAGACTGATTTACTCCCCATAATCAGCCTCTAATTACCTCGTGCAAGCTGGACAGATGGTATTGGCAGCCATCTTCCAAGGTGCCCCTAGTGGCCCCCCCGGGTCCTGTAACTTTCATCCTTCCTGTCTGCTATATATGCTTCCCCATTCTGAAGTATTCATCAGAAAGATGACTTGATAATGCAAGAAAAACTTAAACTTAATTATAAAAAGACAAATGTTTTGATTTCTGCCAATAGGTTAAAAAACACAAGTGGCAACTTGAGGAGCACCTCACTCACTGATCTGGTGAAATCTTTTAAATAACTAGGTTTATGTTTTTCAATTGGAATAAGCACTTTGTAAATACAATACATTGGGGATTAATTCAGTCAACTCTCTATCAACGTTCTGTTGGAGTAAAGGGTGTATACAGATTCCCCCAGCCCTCAAAACCTATGAAGTCAAAGTCACCCCACAAATCTGTTATGGGGTACAAAAAATGGGGATCTCCCCATAAGCGGAATTTGTAAAACCAAGGAATAAAAATATATGCACTATCTTAGAGCTGCCCAAAGCTTCTCCTTTTGGAAGTTGTCAGCTGTGCCAACGTGAACAATATAGGGGTGAGGGCTAGTTAGCCCCGCCCCACCCAATCAGTCACATGATGTGGTGCACACATACCATCTGAATGGCAATGCCCATCAACTTTGGGGGGGGGCAGCTCCCTCAGACAATTTATTGGAGGACCCCTTGCCCCCTAGGAGTTGGCTCCTAGGGAAGCTGGTGTTTGCTCAGTCGTCAGAGTGCATATCCTTTCCCTTAGGAATTTTAAAAGGAGGTGGAGGTTTCAATGAGATGCTGACTTATAACAGTGGGGAGCCTCTAGCTAGGTATAAGGAAATGCTACACTTTATTGATGAGTATGAATGTGCTAGCTAGTGAGATGGCACCTTGCCATATGAAATCTCATATTTTAAAGCATTATTTCTGTGCTCATCACACTTCTGCCTGTCTTGTCAAATGTGCTCCTTGCTAAGGCTGGCCCAAGACATGTTGGCAGCTGAGGCAAACCACAAAATAGTACCTCCCCATTCCAGGGAAAAAGGGGTTAAGTGAAGATCGACATCAGGAACAATGTGAGGGGTGAGGAATAAAGATCTCCACAGGAAACATTTCACATAGGGACCTGCAATCTCAACCCCATTTAATCTGTGGCCCGGTAGCAGCAGGAATCCAATATGGGTATGACTTTCAGATATCCTCATAGCTTAGGAACCTGTCTGTACCGACCTATCAGCATTTATTTACCAAAGCCAGACTAAATGTATTTCCTTCAGAAGTGCTAAATGGTAGACTGAGAAGCATCACTTATCAGAATAGGCTTTATGTCCTCAGAACATCGACTGCATGAAGCATATCTTACTGCAAATCACTGCTCAAAGACTGATCCGCCAAAGACTGGATGACATCGATTTACAGCAAAATTATATGCTGGGGGGAGGTGTTTGTTCGCCCCAGAACATTGGTATCACTTTAACTTATTGCGTTCCATCATACCTCTCCTCCCTTTCGACTGTTGCCCATAGGCTGGCCTTCACCAAAGCGAGGTTTAATGTTTTTCCTCCAATGTCCTGAGACATAGATTCTCAAAGGGCCAAACCTCCGCCATGTGCGGAATGTGATAAGGAGATGCCGGAGTCGCTTCAGCACATTATGTTCACTTGCCCCTTATTTAAGGTGCCACGGGCAAACTTGTTTGGATCAATCATACAGAAATTAGAGGGTACTCCACCAAAATTCCACCTTGCCCAAATCTTGCAGGATAAGGATGCCCATACGACCCTGAAAGTGGCTAGGTTCCTGGTCGCTGTCCTTACCCAAAAGCGTCGCCAAGGAGCACCACAAGCTAATTAAGGCGTAGTATGCCATTCCATCTTATAGTAGCTTATTGTTATAGTATTGTTTTAGCGGCTGTTTTTTTTCCCATGTGCACAGGCTGTTATTTATGTCTTGTTTTTATCTGTATGGGCCTACGGCCGTAATAAATTATTATTATTATTATTATCTTACTGCATTATGGGCAGTACGAGCAAGCAAGGGACCAAATGATCAAACCCCTACCAGCAAATCTGCCGGAAAAATCTGAAGCCTGTCATATTAAATACCTTTTGGATGACAGGTTTGATGATATTACACTGGCCATGGCAAAGTTTCTTTGGGAAGTCAAATGAAACAAAGATCATCAAGCTCGAGACAAAACAAAATGACCACCTCAGTTTCT